ACATGAGGCAGTACATCCAAAGAATGGATAGATCTACTTACACGTTTATCAATACATCAAAAACGAAAAGGCGAAAAACAAATTACAGCGTAAATCTGTATACTAAAGAGTTTTAGTATATTCAACATATTACAGAGAATTACAATAAATACAGAATGAATCAACACGCTTTCTAAACAATCATACCCCTTTTAGAAGCCACATTAGATGGAAAGGCAATGTATTAAGTGACCGAGTGCTACGAAGAGTAATACAATATAGTACACGAGAGATTGACATCAAGTGAGAAATTAATCTTTCTAAGAATGTGATTCAATTATATGTGATACACAGGCGTGGAATATTCATATCAGAAGGTTCCTCAGACAAAGAAGTGGGCACCTTCTGTCCTTTCAATATATATCATGTTTTTTTCTGTATTCACTTAATAAAACCTTACGTCTTTCCAAGTGCTTGCTTTTTACAAAATAATACTCCCCGGAGATGATTCGTTTGTAATACGTGACTTATAATTTGGCCAGCCTTTCAAATAAACATATTTTATTGCAAATAGACAAATACATTATGATAATAGCAATACAATCAACAAATTATAAAGTTTTTAATTTGTTAACACTTTTATGATCTACTGCTTGATATGAATTACAACATAATTTTCCATTACCGATTTAAAAAAGTGTCTTCTTTCACTATTAAACATTGACATTTAATACTGAATTATTTGAACGGTGACATAAACGTCATCGATATTGCTGCTAGGTTAGACTCTGGAAGGATACAGATGTTTATAAAACATTGATATATCAATTTACAATAATCGTAATCGGTGTTTTTTTTACATAATGAGAACTATACTGTACACAATGAATATCTACCATGATTACTTGTGGTATCAACTAAGATATGTTTTCATTGACATGTTAGCAGTAACGTTGAGATCATAGACAAATCTACTGTGTCATCTGTTGGTTACTTGACTGTGGGAATCAGTGCTCCGTTGGTTGACGGTATTAAGTATAGGTGTTGTTGAGAGATATGTCACCTGGAATATGTTAATTTAACAGTACTTTTGACAAACAATGTAACGCAGATTATTTTTAAAGAACATTACTTCACTTTCTCATCTAAAACATTATGACTTATTTATCGTTAATGTTTATACATGTATATGGAAAATTAAGTAAATACGACAATTTGTTTTATTAGGTTTAAGACCACATTCCCCTATTTGTGTCCGGGATGAATGTATTGGGTCCATGTAAGTTCAGTGACGGAGATGAAGTGATCAACAGCGCCCTCTGGTCTCCAGGACAACCTGACTCCAATCAAGGTCACTGTGTCATTGTACAGAACAACTCTTCTCTATTTGTGAACAAGGTTGAAGCAGTATATAGATTATAATGACTTTTGGTACATATGCGAGTATATTAATCCTATAAGGGTTACTGGTGATCATACTATCCGTTGAAACTTCTTCAGTAGTTCTAAAGAAGATCAGGCAACAAAAGCGTTTTAAAAAAGTATGTCTGCAGGTAAGAACTACATGGAGTATATAAAGAGGTATATGCCCTTGGTCCCGGGCTGATGTTTTGTTGGGCATCTTTATTTAAAACATTTCGACATATTGAAGAATACCTTAAATAGGTAGCCCTGATAGCATTTGGCACTAATTATAAGCAACGGGCCAACTACATACACCTCCCTCTAAAAAAAAAGCCATATCATTTTTCAAGTAAATTTATGTATAGATAAGACAAAAAATGTAAATAAAAGGGACGTGCACGTACACTGGCATAATATAAACTGTTGATCGACGTTTAACCATACAAAACATTTAACCAAACCAATTTATGCATAATAACTCACAAAAGGGACATAACTCTGACTCAAATAAGCGAAATACAAATAAGAAATGGCAAGCTTACAGCTACATGGGCTACTGATGATATCTACAAACTGTATTATATGTTGTTTGGATGAGGTTTTGAAGAAACAGTAAAACTCCCACAAAAAATAGACATATTTGTCATAAGTGCAAAGCTTTAGAGCATGTTGAAATAATTAGTAAAGGTGGATTTGGTTGACAATAAACGAACTGGTGTAAAGGGGGATTACTCTGAGATTGTATCACAGACAAATAAACGTAAGGACGGAAGGACAGTCCCGATCAATAAGACCCCGCCTCTGTATACAATGGTCATTTGTGTGAATCTGGCAGTAAATACATTTCTTTTTCTCATTGTATTAAGCGATTCCAGCAATTCCAGCAGACACTCCCAGCAAGGAAGACCGTTAAATAAATATAACCTGCTTCCATTTCGAATCACAGATCTATTAAACTTCAAAAAGACGACAATTTAGGTATATTCACTGCACCTCTGACAAACGTACCAAATATATATATATATTCAGATAGTCTTTGATGTAACTCGCTTATTATATTCACAAGATGGTATCGATGTATTTTAAGAGTTGTCTCCCCTGCGCCAATGGAAAGAATAAGAGAGGTCATCATCAAATACGGCGTGGAATTATTAATAATTGCAGAAGTACCGATGTATTAAAAGAGTTGTCTCCCCTGCGCCAATCGAAAATAATATGTGATCATCAAATACGGCCTGGAAATATTGGAAGTTGAAGAAGTTGATAAGAAAAGACTTTATGACGGGATTTACCAAGTTTGTAAACCTTATAGTCGTGGAGGTACTAACAAAGTATTAATGTATTCTAAAACACGTAATAATAATGGTAAACAGGTATTAAACAATTACACAATACAAAACATTTCAAAAATAAGATGTTTCTGGTGTAAATAATTTTGATGTGGAAACCGTTTTGCATGCGTATCCATTCTTATACGACATTAATAACAAGACAACAGACAGTCAGGTATACATGCCTCTGAGATTAATTATGTTGATTAAATCTTCTACTTTGTTTTCGAGACCTAATCGTTAAAACATATAGTTTCCATTGATCATACCTTTTATTTAAACTAATTACATTGATTACACTACTATTGACCATTTTAATATTCTCAAGTGACCGACATAATCTTTGAATTCCTTGTCAACCTGCATTTTATAATGCCATTTCCTAGACCTCTATATCATGGACACTTTATTATCTTACCCTTGACAGAGGTGTTCACACTTTTACTAAAATTCTATCCAACCTTCGGGTCTGGATCGCTTACACGCTCGGACTAGAGGGGAATTATAATGACTTCGGGTTCACGCTATTGTTCGTGACGTCATTCTATGACGTTTTGGGTCAGAGTCATTGACGTCATTATCAATTGCCACACGGGCTTCATATGCAAATGCGAAATGTGCAAACAGTTTACAACTTTAATAGAAAATCAACTGTTTTTACGGATTTTAAGTAACGAGCAAAAAAATGGAATCCATCCCTGATGTTAGGTTTGAATAAGGTTATTAGCCGAGGGTCCTCTGCTCAATATTTTATCCCTTGAGTTTGAATATCCAAAACTCACATCAGGGTTGGATTCTATTAGTATTACTCTAGGGATGAGAGAGGGGGATTCCTATTTTCATAATTAACAGTTGTATGACGTCACGTAAACCATTCATCTACGTCACGTCAACAGTGAACAAGGTAAAAGATAAAGCATATTTTTACCCTCTTCAGGTGAGATTGGGAATCTCGGGGTAAGGTTCTTAATTTGCCAATCGGCAAAGTCAGGTGATTTGCAACTTAAGGTTCTTCCATCGTCGGGTTGAGATTCCCCTATCCCATCCCCGAGGGGTGAGATAATCTATTAATTATAATCTCACCTTATAATCGTGATGATAGGAGTAAATTGTCTCTGAATGTCTCCCTCTACAGTCTTTACCTAAAAAACAAACACTAATCCCAGGGATTCAGTATGTGTCCTAGCAACCAATTTCATAATCTAGATATTCAAACTTTTTATTTTTATTTTACATCTATTATTAAATACGTTTTTTCAGCTTATATTAATCACTCTTGTTAGGCCGGATATTGGCGCCCGAAGAGTCTAAATGTGGGAGGAAACCGGAGAACCTGGCGAAAAACCACGTGGTTGGGTAGGTGACCCCGTTCACGTCCAATCGGGAAATCGAACTCCAGCGCCTTGGTAAAAGACTAGTGCGCTATCAACTGAACCATCTGACCACCGAAGGTATATGTATGTCAAATTGACATACACAACCTTAGAACAAGTTTATGTGAACCTTAATACTTTCGATATATGTGAGTATAATCCTGAAACCCTCTGTCACCTTATAATCCACATCCCAGTGTACGTGTATAAATATTCCGCCCCCTGAAACCTAAAACTTACTTCCATTGTGAGAAGATATCCCCCTCACGTTTTGATATAAATATCGTTGTTTGGAATTCGAAAGTTTGGAAATAAAAATAAGACGAAAGAAAAAAATAATATCTGAAGGAGTCGAACTTAGACCCTCTAGACTGCAAATGAAGATTAAATTTAGCCAATCCTTTATATTTGATAATGAGTTATACTGAATAGCATTAAAAGTAGCGTACAATTTACATGCCGAAAAAGCGGAGCTATTATAATGGAAATTAAACATAAATATAAATATCGTTGTTTGGAATTCGAAAGTTTGGAAATAAAAATAAGACGAAAGAAAAAAAATATATCTGAAGGAGTCGAACTTAGACCCTCTAGACTGCAAATGAAGCTTAAAATTAGCCAATCCTTTATATTTGATAATGAGTTATACTGAACAGCATTAAAAGTAGCGTACAATTTACATGCCGAAAAAGCGGAGCTGTTATAATGGAAATTAAACATAAAAAATAACCAATTTGACACGGAAAACCACTCTCAGCCAGAAAAAAATACATCCTTGTTTGTGCTTCTTTTTATATATATACAAATATATGAAATTTTAACCGATATAGTGAAACCATTTGCCTAAATGGTATGCGCCTGTCATTTAAAATATAAACAACACAAAATAAAATCAAAGCAATAAAGGTGCATTTTTAATACTTTATTCGTACACGAAATACTTATGACAAATAGTATAACTTTTTATATTCAATTAATAAACAGGACAACTTCATTTGCGAGAAAAAAACCACGTTGCTGTATCTGAAGTAAAAACATTAAAAATTCAAACGGTAACAATACAAACATGTCTTATTTGAAAACCAGCAAAACATTTAAAAAAAGAAATTGTTGGCTAAAAAATGTACGGGCTTTTTAACTGTAAGTACTGATTTGGCCTTATAGCTAAACATCCCAGCAGCTTACACATTAAATATTAAGACTCTTTACCTCAAACAACACAAGAACAAGCTTTTCAAGGTTTATTACCCCAAAAAGGGCATTTCAATTTTGACGCCAACCGAAGTTGACCTTTGATAGTCATTCTTGGACATACACTTGGTAGCCCATCCCCCAGCATGCTATAGACCAAAAATCAATACCCTGGACTTTTCCGCTAATGAGAATTTGGAAAAGTTTAATATAATTTACCCCAAGTGACCTTGAAAATGAGTCAAGGTCATTCATATTATAAAACTTGATAGTCCATTGCTTAAGCATAATATTCACCAAATAGCATGCCCTTGGGTCACTTGGTTATTGAGAAGAAGTTTTTTTTAACATTGTTTTACAAAATTACACATTCGAACTTTGACCCCGCCGAGAATCAGAAGTTGATGTTTTACAGAAGTTGATGTTTCCTGAGAAAAGTTATTTATTTGAATATCCAATGATGAATTCAATACATTCATCCGTTAATGAGGTATTGCAACAAGAGAAAAAATCGGATATGACGTCATGACGGCCATTTTGTTCCGCAAAATAACTACACTTGGTCATGACCATCTCAGGATCATTTTAGGTAAGTTTGAGCTGAATTCCACTGGCGGAACTTGAGAAGAAGTTTTAAAAAGGTTTTGTTTACAAAAGCCATGTGTACAAAAATGGCTGCCATGGTTGGCGTGTCAAAGTTTTGACAAGGCCAAACAATAACAACACTTGGTCGGCTCCCTTTCCTTAACATACCCACCAATGTTTAGCTCAATGGCACCAGGGGAACTGGAGAAGAAGTTTAAATTATGTTTTTCAAGATGGCAGCAATGGCGGCCATTCTGGATTTCCGAACAACCGGAAAAAACCACAGTATTTGGTCAGTACTATCTCAGGATCATTTCAGGCAAATTTGAGCTGAATCCCAGTGGTGAAACTTGAAAGGAAATTTAAAATGTGAAAATTTCAGGACAATTTTTAAATTCAGATATTTTCAACTTTGACCCTTACCGAAAACCTGAAGTTGACATTTTACTCAAAGATGTTTCTTGAGAAAAAGCTATTTATTTGTTATTCTGCACAACAAATCCAAAGATGAATTAAATAAATTTGTCCATTAATGAGGTATTGCAATTTGAAAAAAACGAATGTGACGTCATGACGGTTATTTTGTTTTTTCGATGAAGTTGAAAATGTTACCAAATGTTAGAGGATATCTTGGGAAACCTTTTCCATTACAACTAAACAAAATATTTTTTATTGATATTGGAGTAAAACAAGTTTGAACATATTGTCGGCATTTAAAAAGATCAAATCAAAGGAAATATTCAAAATTGCGTACAACGTTAACGGTAAATGTTACAGAAAAACTAAAGACATCAAATTCATCGAAATGACATTCTGCATCGATCTGTAAAAGACTTTCTCAAAAACATTGAAAAATAAAAAATTGTGATCTTTAACCCAACAGCGAACTTTTTATTGGACATTTGTTGCATAGACATGTAATGAAAAAAAAGTTAGAAATGCAAATTATCTACAAATAATATAATGGTATTAATTATGTACAATCAACGATTTTCGAGTTATAGCTGTTTTAAAGATTTTGACCTTTGACGTCTTGACGGCTATTTTTAATTATTGACCTACTTGAAAATGTTTCAATAAAACCTTCATACTAGGTCCTATACTGTACAAAATATGCTATGATCGTATCTGCTACCGTTCAGGAGATTAAGACGCCATAAAATATGGCAGAGGAATAAGAATAATAATAACGGTATTTGTTGACAACAAATAAGTTGTCTTTGCATAATAAAACAACAAGAGCTTTTGGAGAACAGCATAGCTCGCCTATTGGTGATTTATGTTGTAAAATAGCAAATATCAATAGAAACCAATGTACAGTAAACCTTTGTATAATGCACGTCTTTTCATTTGATTTTCTCACTTACCGCCAACACATTTCCAGGTCCCTTAGGTATGTTTTCCTTAAGAATTCCTTATACTTTTATAATACGAACATTTCTTTGAACAAATGATTGCAATATAACAAGATTTTGCTGTACCTTAACATGCAAGAAGAGATGACCAGCCAACGTGAAATAGTAAACAGCGTATTGATCATGGTGACCGATCCAACACTGCACACACAAAAAAAAGTCCCAAACACTTAAACCAAGTCAATCTAACCACTTGGCCTCTAAAATGACAAAAATACAATTAAGAATATTGGCTACACTCCATATAAATACTCCGACTTTATAAAAGGCACCAGCCTATTGATGGTGATGATCCAACATTACACAACAAAACTTGTCCAAAACTTTAATTAAGTCCAATTAAGCTGTTTTTGGCCCCTAACATATGACAAAATATGGTCCAGAACATTGCTAACACTCAATATAAATACTTCAACGTTAAAATAGACAACGGCCTATTAATGCTGGTTATCCAACACTACCCAAAAAAACTTGCCCAAAAACATATGAAAATTGCTTACACTCGATATAAATGACTTATACTCATGATAGATAACTGTGTATTGTGTGTGATTATCCAACACTGTCTGGAAAAAAACTTGCCCAAAAACTTTAATCTCAAATTTAATTACGTCCAATTAAACTGTTTTTGGTCCCTAAAATATGAAAATATGGTCCAGCACATTGCTTACACTCGATATAAATGCCTCACCTCATAATAGACAACAGTGTATTGAGTGTGATGATCCAATACTGTCTGGAAAAAACTTGCCCAAAAACTTTAACCTCAGAGGGTGGAACGCCGACGCCGGGGTGACTACATTAGCCCTCCTATTCTCAAAATAGGCGAGCTACTTATTTAACTGAGAAGAAACTTCAATGTATACATGCTGATATGAAAATCAAAATTTCAACAATATCGATACATTTGCAAATTCATATATACATGAACAAAACCAAACTTTTACTAACGGTCATTATATATCCCCGTAAGTAATAGACAAAACTGATCAATTATATACATCAATGATGCTTCCCTGGCAAGTAAACAAGGTTTTATGTATGTAAGGCATACCAAAAGGTCAATATAAAGATCACGAAAGGTATAAGGTCAAACTGACAAATCAGTTTCATTCAATATGACATACTCTCTTTTGCAAAAAAAGCAAAGTTCTCCATGCGTCGGCGGTAGTGGAAACCAGCCGAACGGGAAGTGGAAGAATATTGAGTGAAAGGATGAAACAGATTACATTAACCTGTAGGTTCACACAAGATGTTGGAATTGAGGACAGCTGTCACATAACTAGTTATTTTCTTCATCTGATACATAACAGATGACAAGACTTTCAGAGCAGGCCTTTAAATTACACTTTGTTTTGCTAATTTTGTTTGGCTACACCAACACACGCACATTAACGCTAGATTAATACAACATTACATGTTCAACACACAGTATAAACACTTCAAAATTTGTAACAGTGCCACGTCCCAGAATTTGCAGCTTATTTGAAGACTATTTTATAATTACGTTTTCTTTCCAAGGTAAGCTTACCATGGTAATGCCAGCATATTGAACCATGTACGGTACAACTTTGAGCAAATCCAATTTCACATTAACGAATATCAGTATGATCTTTTCAGTCTCATCTCATGTCGTCTAATTACCATTCGTTCTGTTATATTTGTTATTTGCATGGATATTGTCCTTGTAAATCTCTCTGACTGACATAAGTAATCCTATGTTTGACATAACGAATTTTTCAACCGTTCTTTACTCTCAATAACAGGGTTATCAAATTGATATGTTTGTCGACCACCAAGAGAGTTCATGTACTCACTGAGAGCATTGTGTCTGTCTAATACCTATTCATAGCATATGCTCAAGATGTTGTTGACTATCCAGTGGTTAAAATCGCATTGTTCCAAGTCTTTCTTTACGGTGATTTAATGTTGCTTTACATCTTCTGGTGTCTTCAAGGTCATGCTCACACAGAAATGACAAGAACACAGCATAAGTGAGTGGAGGTATATAAAGAATGTCATCCAACGGCAGATTGGACATTTCATTGTGTAATTGTAAAAGCGTTTCGTGGAAACTCCAAACACGATACACATATCTCCTTATGTTTTTGCAGTAGGGTTTGTCCACGCCCCCGGTATAGATGTTCATACCTGTTTTGTGGTTTATAGTTGAACAGCCACCAACATATATTTTCAAAGGAGATATAAGGTTTCAATACATCCCCTGTGCTTTCATGTAATTTTCCAGTAGTAAACATGTTAAATACAAACATAAAAAGACCACGATTTGTACACACTAATGAAAGTGGTCCCATTATTTGTTTTGCATTTGTAACGATATCTGTACTTTTCATTTTTTCCTTAAATAGAAACGTATGTGTCTCTATTATGAATGTTGCAACCGTTCTATTCTCTCCTTGGCAGGGTTTTCATTTTGCCCGAAATTTGGACCACAAGGAGAGTCCGTGTATTCCCTGAGCGCTCTGTGCGTGTCTCCAACCATTTCATAGCATATCCCCAAGAGATTATGGACTATCCAGTGCTTTCTACCTCCCTGTTCCTCGTCATACTTCACGGCCCGAAGGTTCCTCAATGACGCACTCCGTCCTATGTTATCGCCAAGCTCATGATAACACAGAAATGACAGGAACACAGCAAACGGGAGTGGAGGGATTAATAGGAGGTTTCTCTCATGACGTTTTCGCAACTCGATGTGTAATTGGGATGGACAGAACTTTAGTCTGTTCGGTTTAAACTTAATTGATGATACATATACCTCCTGAAATTTGTGTAGGAGGGTGTATCCACGCCCACAATAGAGATGTTCATACCTGTCTTTGTCCTCCAAAATTGAACCTTTATCAAAATAAATTTTGGAAACGAGTCCACATATCTCCAGTGTTTCGCTGTAATTTCCCGTCTGGTAGTAAAATATTGCCAACATAAGTAGACCTGGACTGGTACACACTGATGAAAATGGTTTCATCAGGTTTTTGCTTTTCCTAAGGAATTTGTACTTCTCTTTATTTCCTTTAGCAGCAACATGTTTCTCGAAAGTATCTACCCCGATAAAAGACAGTGCAGTTGCTGTATAGATGTAGTCTATAAATTCATCAATGTCAGACGTTGATTTTGACAGTAATCCAGTTAACATAGGAAGCGAGGCAGACTTAGGGATAATTGAATTGATGTTATGGAATATCTGGCTGTCAATTTCCATTTCTGACTGTTTTGGCGTAGGTAGCACATAATCCAAGTGTCCATTTCTCACCCTATTAAGAAGTGTTCCTATAGACGGTTGTATAAATGTTCCAACTGAAAGACATTCCCATTTCATGTCATGGAGCTCAATGAGAAAACGAAGTAGTTTTTGTTGATTTTCATCACAAACTTTGCCATGGAACATATTGTTGCTGCTAATGAAGTAATTTGGGCAATGCCCTGCCTTCACCCACGCGATCAAAATCTTCAAGCAAAGCATGAAACAGAAAAATGTATTTTTTTCTTGCCATAATGAAACAGGTGTGCTCTCCACTGCATGGAATATTACTGTTTTTATAATGTAAGATGATATAATACCTGCCTTCCCCATTATCTGCTCTAGACTGTTTGCTATCTGTTTCAAGAAGTACTTGAAAAGTCCATATATTAGAAATTGTGTATGAGTCAGAGAATAAATGAGTTTCCTTTCTGCTGTTGTAAATGAAATCCGCCATTGGAGGTGTGAGTAGTCAGATGTTTTGTCCCCTACGGGGACAAGATAACAGCCACATAGTACTACCTGACTTCTCAAACCTTCATCTGGCCATTCATACAGGCGAGGCCGACTCACCCACTCATTAGCTTCTCGTGGCCAACTACTACACCGTAAAGAAGACACCCGATCAATATCAAGTCCAAATGAAGTCTCCTCTTTCGTCGCAGTTGCAGCTGGCCCATTCGCTGCCATGGGAGTTACAGAACGAAAATCTACAAAATACCGTGCATACTTTTCACTTGATAAGACATTTACATCTCTTAAATGTTCTATGCAGTGATCAAAAACTTTATAGTAACTCTGTCCCAGTTCAATAAGTTCAACGGTTACATAACCAGGTCGGCAGTCAGTGTCTCTCATTATCAAAACTGTTTCATCTGTGTCGCCAAAACAAGGTACAGGTATCCTGATGATCTGATCTGGACACACAATTTCCACAAAGTTGTTCGGAGGAATTCCGGTGTACTGATCAGGGCAAATCACAATTACATCGCTCATTATATACATTACATCCATGTCCGAGCCTTCCATCTCCATTCCCTCAACCGAGCTTCCTGTTAAACATTTTTTACCTTTTTGCTCACAATTTCTTATCTGCTCTTGTATAAGACGAAGTTTCCGCCTGGTTGCCACCATCTCCCGGCTCCCTATATACCTGTCCAGGATATGATGTAGAATCCAAGACTTCTCGTATTGCTCGTCCTGATCTGACATTTTCTCGCCTGTAAATATATAACGAAAATACTGTTTTTCAATTGTGTTATCTATATGATTCAACATTAACTGCTATTTGATAAGTCCTAAACTTCAGTCAAAGAACCCATGATAAGAATGGTTCTGACTATCAAACCAACGATTTGATAATACTGAGCACACGCAAATACTAAACAAAATAATAATATAAATAACCATTAACTTAACAAAATGATTGATACCTAATTAATTATATAATCTTATTGTAAAGTGTATGGTGAATTAAGATTCTCTCCAAAATATGTTAAAACGTTTGTCATTTGTCCTTAAATATTTCATAAAATATTTGGGTCTTTTTTACCTTTATATTGATGTTTGTTATTTGAACAAGCGTGATAGCGTTCCTTCTAACTAATCACATATCAGTTATGCTAATACCTCTGGTTTGCTGTACTTTTTTTGTTTGAGCAAATTTGGAAAGCTGAATAAATATGATTTGTATGCCACTTGGTCATAGGTAGGTTTTCAGGGGACTATAATATGAATGATCACCTTTCATAAAAATACCATTTTAGAAAATAAGCCACAGAACGGTCGGGGGATGGTCGTAAGAAGAAATTTCGGGATCACTGGGCTCGCCAAGGACAAGTAATAAAAAATAAATGTTTTTTTTGAAAAAGCGGCTCCGCACCCCCTAGTGTCGGGGCGGGCCGATCCGAGCCCAAGTGAAATTTTGGTATCCATGGGCTTCCGCTAAGGAAATAAAATTTAAAAGATTGAATTTTATTTGGGAAAAGGCGGCCCCGCGTCCCCTGGTGTCGGGGAGGGCCGACCCAAGCCCAAGTGAAATTTTGGAAAAGGTGGCTCCGCGCCCCCTTTCGGGAGGCGGGCCGACCCGAGCCGCCAGCTGACGAGCTACTTACCAACGATATTAGGACTTTCTTTTAATTATATGTATGTCCCTATGCCCTATGTATAGCACTGTGTATGCGTGAGTCCGAAAAAGAAAATTAACATGGCGAAGCTTTGCGACGCGAACTTGGGTCTTTCGTGACGAGGAATGCAGTGAACAGAACCAAGAAGCTTGCCAAGAATGTAGCAAATACATCTAGAAACCAACAAAACAAAGTTTGATTCCAATTTCCATAGCCGTTATTTGATATTGGCAAGAAATGGTGTCACATAACCAAACACCTATTGTACTCAGCGTACGTAAGGGATATAGAATATAAATGTTATGTTTGAGACCTGGCAAGTGTCTCTTTGGTGCCTTATGTTATTGACATCTTCAATAACCAACAGTTATTTTTCATTCAACTCTCTCTATATATATATATTATCAAAAGAAAATCCTTAACAACGAGTCTTTAGTACTTGTATCTCTCCAAACTGTTGACGTCCTATAGCGACGTCGCCATACACGTACCCGACATAACGATAGCACAGCAATATAAATACATTAATTATAGTCCTAAGGCAAAGCGTACCATTTGTTTAGGATTTAGAATTACTAGTAATACTATAATTTACAAAAAGATAATACTAAAAAATTAAAAATTAAAATAAAAACTCTCCCTATATGGGGCGAAATTCAGTGACGTCGTAGGCGGGGCCTGACCGAAAATTGACCAATCAGTGCAATCGAATGACGTCGGCAATTTCCGGCCAACGGAGCCGGTACTTTCTGGACCGACCTTCACCTCGCATTGTTGTTGACTGACGACAACAGAAATGGCGACCCCCAGGTTTTCTGTGTTGGTCGAGAGCGAGTTGTCGCACATATTGGAGACAAAAGACAGTTGGCAAATTTTCAAGCAAAAACTGTGATTTATTGTTTATTGTACATGTGTTATCCTATATTTCATGTTATTGCGAAAACTGTTTTTTTATGTTGATTCTCAAGAAAATTTTGGTTTTGTTAATAAAGTGGTCCAACTGTTGAAAATTTGTTATCTAATAATATTTAGAATATTGTAAGGGGTGTTTATTTCGGTATAATAAAACAGTTGAAGCATGGATATTTCGGGATATAGCAAGTTTATGATCCCCTTCGTCCAGTAATATTTCCCTCGACTTCGCCTCGGGAAATAGTCTTGGCCTCGGGGGATCATAAACCTATTATATTCCTTATACCCATACTTTAACTGTTGACTATTATTTACAAAAAAAAATAAAAAAATAACTATATGGGGCGAACTCGGGACAATCATAATACTGATCCGACACTCTCCCGATGTCACTACTTTACAAACATAATTCTTCAATAGACAAAAATAAATATGATAAAACACACTGATCGAAACTCGTGCGGGGTCTGAGAAGTCGAATGAATTCAGCTTCCTTAGCCTCACGTTTGATTACGTTCATTTACACATACTCCGTTGTAATGACACAACATGTATTATAAAGACACTTCCTGCATAAACATGACACTACCTTCGTTACAAATGATACTTACTTGGTTATGAATTAGTTAAGTTACACCTGGGGAGCCCGAGTGGGGACTATTAATTTCGGTTTCAGTCCCAGATTTTGACATCTGTTGCCGACCACAATGAGGATCTTTCGTGTGTTTGCTTCTGTCGCTAATTACAAGTTCTTGGATAACTCAGATATCGATTTTCATTTAAAGAGTAATAGATCTCACATACAACCTAAATGCGTTCCGAATTTCAAACTGAAGAAGTTCCGAATTTGAACCAGGCATCTTTGATTTCCCCAAAGGGGTAGATTGTTATTATACATATTGATATTATATATTGATTTAGATATTTCATGTCTTACCAACGACTATATTGGAAATTTCTTTTTAAACCAATAGACATGTTGTAATAAGATGTTCAGGTTGAAAAGCTTAATGATGTCTCTTTTTCTTTATCATTTCACGTCAGGGTTCACGTTTGTGGTCGCCACTGGCTCCAATGACGAAAGTAAAACATGATTTGCGATTTGAAACTACTTTTGGCGAAAATGTCGATGAAGGGCTTTTATTTAAGTTACTGTCGACAATAAAATTTGTTTTTAGCGATAACTACTTCTAGAGTAACTGTTACAGCTAAATTTAGCCCCACGACATCTCTGTGTACTGTGATGTCACGGCTGAGTTTGTCCAACTTCTTTACAATCGCTTTGAAGTAGTTTCTTTCCTCATCAATATTTCCTGTAATCCGGAACTGTTGTAAAGATTTGAAACAAGGTAGCAAACGTATGAAAAAAGCCGTGGATCGTTGCATGACTGGAACTATCTTTTCTTTTGTGTAATTTTCTTTGTTCAGTGGTGTACTTAAACGCTCAACATAACGCTGTGCATTGAACCTGTGCAATACCTGTAATTCCGGTTTTTCTAGGCGTTATGTTCGTGATAAGGAACTATTTTTGTCTTGGTGGTTTATATCTTGTAGTCCTACACTCACAATAACAGTATGGTCCGTCCCTTTGTTCTGTTTTAATACCTGTAGATGTTTACAGTTATACATAATGTTATTTCTGACAACTCAGTATGTAGTCATTTTGAACGTCAGTGTGTTAAGTTAATGCTATAACACGCCCGTTCATCAAAAACGCTGTGTCATTTTAGGAAGGGGATGTCGCGTTCTTGATTTGGTAGCTGATCTCCTTTATCTATAATTGTGATCCTCTGTTGTTCTGTTACATCGGAAAATTAGGTATTTTTGTTGAAATCTTGCCAAAATCTCGGTTTGATTTGATGACGCATATGTGTTCCAAGGGCATTACATGTTAACCTATTTAGAGACGCAAATTTCAAGAATATATGTAGAATAAAAAAGAAAACAAAACAAAAAATAGTTATTGGGTGGTTTTGGGGAAAGACAGGTTAATATTTTAAATACTCTTTTTATGTACAGGGTAATGAAATTTTACCAATATAACAAAATGGCTCAGGGCATTTCTTCGCAAAAATTTCGTGTCAAACAACGATCGTCTCAAACTTTTGTGCCGGCTTTACTGTCTCCGTGACGTTTTTCACGTACACAACATTAGTTTTTGCCAAGAAATCATTTTAATTATATTGATAGTTAACATATAGTATTTACTATTTTTTAGATTTATTGATTTATTGAGCAGACGGGAGGGGGGAAATAATAGTATGTGTAAACTAATGAAAAGGCCAGACATAATATGATAGAGAACATTACCTTGTGAACTGTAGTTAACTCCAGTGCACATTGATGTGAACTCCAGTTCACTTTACTGTTATCTCCAGTGCACAAGCTAGTGAACTGGAGTTCACTTTTCTTGTTAACTTCTGTGCACTAGTGCTACGTTAAACAAGAAGACATGACGTATCTTTAAGTACATATGTAATGGCTACTGCCTCCTCAGTGATTCTCTATAGAATAGTTAATAAATGTTCGGCTGTGCTTTTACATGTTTGAATTGAAACGAAACTTTTAGAATATGAATTTTATGAATTTGCACTTACAATTCTGCATTAACAAAATTAAGTAAATATTGTTCATAAATTCTTTGTTGTATATGTCATATCTTTTCAAATCAGTAAAATACGGTGTCAGGTTTTATCGATGACCGAACACTTAATTTTGTCTGTAGGTATTGATTATTTATCCCCTTCAATCACTCGACTGTATTTTATTTGGCATATGTGAAAACAAATTGTGTCTTTGATAATACAAAAAAAAGAGGCCTTACCAGGATTCACTCAACTAAGGAACTGCCCACGATTTGATAGGGAATATCGAGGGAATAATCCAGGTAGTGCAGTTGTTTACCGTCCTTTCCATCACGGTGTATGCCGTTGTTTGTTTTGTAACAAATATGCCATAGTGTGTCTAGAAAAGCACCTTCACAATGTTTTTGACACTACTGAAATTCAACACAGTACTTAATAAATGATTTCTGCTGAAAGTTTTACATTTCGAACACAGTTTTTAGAACCCAGTGATACTCTTGTCCGGTATGCTGTATTGGAATGAAAACCGACGTTCTTCTGTTTTTTCGGTCCCTGTATAACATACACAGACTATCATCGTACCCAATCCCTGTACAC